CTATATCTATGGGCGACGGTTCATCTTGAGAGTAGACCCCACCGCGGTTGCCTCTGTCCTCCAGAAGGACTTTAGTCTGACGGACCTGACCATCGCCCGATGGTTAATACGGATTCGGTTATACGATTACACGGTTGAGAGAATATCTGGTACTAAAAATGCCGTGGCAGATGGACTTTCACGCATCCCTCTCGAGCGTCCGATAGTAGCTGGGGCCCTGACAATGGCAGAGCTGAGACGCGCCGAGAGATTTCTTGTTAGTCTTTACGAGGGCAAGTATCGAATGATCAGACTACACCTGACGGGAGAGGAAAGTCAAGATTCAGATATCCGGAGGCAAGCAGCCCAGTACTGCCTTAGAGCGGGCCACCTTTTCCGAAGGCCAGTAGGGTCAGGAATGCCGTTACGAGTAGTCTGTGATCCTGAGGAGAGACAGACGATAGTTGCGGAGCTTCACGACGGGGTAGTCGGAGGACACAGGGGAGTTAAAGGAACCTACGAAAAGCTACGCCGACTGTACTGGTGGAAAGGACAGTATAAGGACGTCGAGAGGTACTGTATGACATGCGAAGAGTGCCAAAAGAGAGCTCTTGTGAAATACAAAGAGCCACTTCATCCATCCTATCCGACCAGACCAGGAGAGAAGGTACACATCGATCTAGTGAAAATGCTGAGAGGGGTAGGCAATATGAACTACGTCGTGAACATACGAGACGATTTCACTGGGTTCGTGGACGGTAGACCTATTAGGAGTAAGGCGGCAAAGGAAGTAAAGAACTTTGTTCTAGAGTACTTATCTAGGTATGGTTGTGTTAGCAAGATAGTGATGGACAGAGGGGCGAAATTCCTAGCCGACGAGGTTCAGGGCATGTTTAGGAGAGCCGGTGCGAGAGTTTCGATAGCCAACGCCTATCACCCACAGTCAAACTCCCCAGTAGAGAGGGGACACCAGACTCTGATAGCGTCACTGTCCAAGTGGTGCAAGGGTAAGGACAGTGATTGACCACGATATTTTCGATGCGCAATATGGGCGGACAACGTCACTGTCCGGGCTAGTACCGGATACCCACCGTACACCTTCTGGTTTGGGCGACATTGTCCGCTTCCAATAGAGTTTCACGTCGACACCTGGACAACCGTCGACTGGGCGGAGGAGATGTCTAGAGAGGAACTCTTAGCTGCCCGAACGAGACAAATAGCCTACGGATTTGGACGATGTCCTCATGACAGCGGCAGATCGTCTGGTAGTGGAAAGGGAGAAGGGTAAAGAGAGATGGGATAAGAACGTGCGAATCAGGAAAGAGAGGGTGAGCGTAGGAGATATGGTCCTTTTCTACGATGCAGCGCTGGAAAGGACCTGGACCGGAAAACTCGCCAATAGATGGATGGGACCTTACAGAGTGGTTGAGGCACTCGACTGGGGTGTATATATGATAGCAGAATTAGACGGATCTAAGTGGAAGGACCCAGTGGCGGGTGCTAGGTTAAAGCTGTTTAGGCCCAGGCCCGCGCCCGCCTTATCCCTGACGAGCCTGAAAGGGAAAGGAAAAACCATAATGGAGGATGGAGCCCCCTTGAGGCAATTCGAGGCAGGGGAGAGTTCCAAGAAAAGGAAAAGAATAGAGAAGAGAAAGGTCAAAGGGGTAGCTTTAGGAAGAGAGAAGAGATGGTTATTCGTGCTCAAGCGAGCTAGACGGAGAGTTTGCGTTAGACGTACTGACGGGTCGACACCCTTCTCGGGGCAAAGACAGAAGAAAAAGAGGATCCTGCCGGGACAAAAAACCAGAAGAAACAGGAGAGTCAAGAAGCATCTTCTTAACGCCATGACTCATAACAAACTGAAACATAAGACAATTGAACGCCGACGTGGGCGTCCTTTACGGGTTATCACCCTGAAGCTCGTCCGCTTCGTCTGACGTAAGTTGCTAGGGTTCGACGGGGGCGTCGAGAAGTGGTCCGGGCTAACTGTCAGGCGGCCGCAAGCAGTGCGCCGCCTGAGATCTGCAGTTTTGGGACTTAGGCTCAGGGACAAGTCCGTGTTTTGATGGTACTCTCGTATGACCAGGCAACAAAAATTAGGGGAACTCATGGCACCCCTGATTCTGGGCGCACTGAGCCTTACGAGTAATCCTCAAAGATGGCGAGATAAGTGGCCACACTTGGCGCATCAAGGGGCCGTCATTCCCGGCCGTTTAGAGAGCTAGACTCGGATTAGCCTGCCGCGGAGAGGCATCGTGGGAACTGACTTCGCCGCAACGTTTTTGCGGCATACGATCGGGGACGAAATGAGGCCTCAAATTTTTGTCTATTTTCTGTACCTAAACTAAAGATGGGAGAAAAGATTGGGAACAGTAGGAGGGAAGAGAAAAACGTAATATCCCTTAGTTCCCTTATTTTTTGCCGCATTTAAATTTTGGGGAAAATACCTCGTTATTTTATKTTTCCGGCAATGAAATAGAAAACCAGAGAAAAAGATTAAAAATGGTAAGGGAGAGAAGAAAAGAGAGAATTTCAACCATTTGATTAAACTCCCTCAGAATTCATTTTTGGTGAACCTACGGCTAATTCACTATTTCAGACAATAGAATTAAGGAAAAGGGAGAACGATTAAAAATGATGGAACAAACA